AACTGACTGGGAAGAGTGGGAGTACAGACTTTGGGAAGTGGGCGGACAAAGGCTTTACGCCAAAGGGATGGGAAAGATCCGGAATACAGGGAAAAATTGATAATATGGGTTATAGCCGGTAGGAGGTGATCTAGAACAGTTATAATCATGTTACGAGAAATGTTATCACATCCTACCGCTTTTGATTTAATTGAAAGGATAATCCTACCAATCTCTGCCGAGTCAACTGAAATGAAGTGGAAAGGAGTAGCAATGTTGGGACGTGCAAGACCAGAGATGAACCTTATAGTGTCTTGTTTCACTAGACGATCTATGGTAGGTACTGTAGAGAAATGATGATTTAGATCGTCTAAGCGAATTGAGTTGGGTAGTTCTATATGGTGCGTTTTGCCGATACCTAAAGTCCCAAGAAATTTCCAGATATCGGCAGAAGAAGCAGAAGAGATATTATCGAGAACGTGGCGGCGTTTAGCGTTACGTACCATCTGGTTACAGCGATTTCTTGCTAGCTTAAAAGCTGCCCAGCTTTCATCGGTGCGATCCCTCCTGTGTTTGCGGAAAGCGCGGTCCCTACGTCGCATAGCCATTTTAATACCACGAGTCATCCAAGGCGCAGGCAGTCGTTTCATTCTTATCCGCCTAATGGGAGCATGTCGGTCATAAAGGCTAATTACTGTGGCGTTAAAAATCTCAACCTTTTCGTCGACTGAGGTGGCTTCCATTAGGGGATCCCAGTCGATCGATGACGCGTCTTCCCGCAATCTTGCTCCGTCCATCCGCGCAAAACAACGCCTATACAAGACCGTAGGCCTCGCCTTGGGTGGCTTTAGGATATAGGATAGGAAAACCATGTCATGGTGAGAAAACCCCGGAGCATCACGCTGACCATGGCAGGATACAAGGGAGAGATTGGAAGTAAGGATAAGGTCAAGCCAGGAGTCGTCGCCTGCAGTGTTGTGGTGAGGTTATTTTGTTGTTTAAAAAGGGAACACAAATATTTTTAACAGTTAATACAAAATTTTGTTAGGTTTAGGTATTATAAGAAAGGAAGAAAGTAGTACTTAAGTATATTTTACATTAATGAAAAAAAGCTATAGTAGATAAAAAAACAACTATGATATATCAGCGGTGTGCTCACCTTTAATATACAAATATATTTTTAAATTCCAAATATCTAGTACTTATTGTATTTTAGCAAATTAAATTAACGAGTCCACTTTCATATGTTTATTAATTATATTAAACAAAAACTTTAAACGACCAATTTATTACATAATAATTTGCGTATCTCCAAATCGAATGTTTCAATATGAGAAAGATATTAATTAAATTCGAGTAATCGCCGCCAATTTACCAATACGCAGTAATTAAAACGCTGGACCACATCAACCTGTACGTGTTATTTTTTCTTGTCACCAAGTGATAAAAAATCCGGGGCTAATTCAACTCTGTAGGCTGCGCCCGCGCCACCCATCGCTGTTCGCATCAATTTATAGGCTTTTAACCTAATTTGTTGACCGTACACCCCGTTACCCCCTTCAACTCCCGTCTCAGACCCACCGCCCACGCGACAGCCATCTTTGTTTTACTTTTTTAATAATTAATTTAGTATTGATGACGTTCCATCGTTATCTTCAAAATGGATTTTAATCCTGGATTTAGAAGCTCGAGGAATCAATTAATAAGATAAACTTGATCCCATTTTTGCTAAAAAAAGATGAACTTTTATGAGAGACAAAAGCGCCAAATTAAGCTATCATGCCCAGCAATAAAGTATCTAATTAATGTATTTTACATTAGCAAAATGGCTGTCGATACCCAACAAAGTCGTAAAAACAAGCATTGACTTTTAATATCCACGCGTATTTTATATTTTATAGGCAGCTATATGCAATAAACAATTTAGGAGAATACATTTTTTTGGTTAATCCGACCAAAAAAGGTGTGTGCACAATCGCGGATAAGTTATTGAGGTACATTATAAAAGCCTTAGGCTGGTATATTTTATAAATATTTTGTGTGCACCCAAAATTTTGACAAATACCACTTAATTTACGCTAATGAATCCGGAATGAATGCATGTTGACGACGAATGGTTGGCCGTAGTGTTGCGCCGCTATCGATATCGTGTAGGTGGGGAATTAATGTTCCAGATAACCTTCGAGCTTCTCACATAATTGCCGTCTAACTAAAATTCGTTACCAAATTATGATTGACTTATACAAATTAGAACGTATCAACTTGATAAGTTGAAATTACATTTTTGAACCTGTTAACTGGCTTTTGTGTTTTCGAAATACAAATAGAAAATTATTTGTTATTTGCATGTCTTATTTTAGTGTTTTTAAACAAATAAAATTAATTATTTTATTAATATTATGTTTCAAAATCAATATTATTCTTTTATATTTTTTTAAATATCCACTATACCATTTAACAATAACGCACTATTTAGGTTTTACGTTTACCAGCAAAATCCATACAAAACATTCAAAAAAATAACCAAATAAAAATAATTATCGACATCATTAGGATCAACCCTAAACCATTCGTATAGATAAACGACCGCTCGCATAAAAATCAACTCGTTCGTCCTAATCGAATTAGGTACCGATATTCATCAGTACGATTTAACACGTTTTGCATTCTTTTGTCCATCGACTAATAAAGGCAGCAGGTAGCAATCCCCACATGAAACTATATCTTAAATGTTGATGAACTCATCGCCGGCCGTATCGATGATTTATATATCTATCGATACTTTTGAATCGTTTTGGATCGATACCTTTTGTTCGAGACTGTTTTACGACACTGCTTTTGTGATTAGGAGCGATTTTCGTTTCGTAATTTGTGGTTTTTTAGTTTATAGGTAGTTTAAAAGGTTATTTTTGTATTGTATTACGTATACTTTTCAATAAGCATCGATATGACTGGGTTCAAAAAAATATTATAATGAAATGAAATAAATAAATATGGACAAATTCATTGGTGGATAGGTGACATAGTTCTCGGGTCAGGCAAAGTGCGGTGAAGTATTATTGGAGAATTTTCAGTTAATAAATAATTCATCAATTTAAGATGATTATAATAATAACTGCCACCGACAAAATTAAATGGCAGTAGGCTGTCCCCCATTACATGAGCTCTTAAAGCAACAAGTGATAAGTGGGCGAAACACTGAATATCTTCTCCGTATGCCATTGATGTATAAATAATCGTAGAAAGTACATATATGTATACATAACTCGGAAAACGTCACCAATGTCACTTCTTACTTGGCAGGTTTTCTCATGCATGAGAAGCGGGCACCTTAACCTGCAGGCCACCACGACGTCGTTGAAACCATTTATTTAATAAACTCAAAAACATGAGAATAAGTACACAAATCTGTAGTCTAATACTCGTCTAGACTCACTTTTACAACTATAACTAATAGTATACATTAATTTATTGACAAACAAGCCACGAACAATCGATTAAAATTTCAATTTTTCAAGACATCCGACAATCGTGCGAACTGTACAGTATGTTACTAGAATTTATTAGGAAAACGTGATCAACTGAATATTCCTTAAATCTTTAACCTTTGGCAACACTTACTATAATATTAAGCCCTGTATTTCTAAAGATCTTATGCTTCTTGCATATCAATATCACATAACAGTTCAATGTTGGACTAAGGGACTACTGTACAAAAAAGGTAAGACAAGATAGAAGAAAAGAGACGGAATGACGGTAGAGGATGAATGATAAATTGTCACTAATCCTACTCGTCCCGAGAATATCGTAAAAGTCAACAAAAAGCCTAAAACAAAAATACATATTTAATGAAACATGATATTTCAATGAATCATCAGAAAACCACAGATAGGTCTCATTAAGGCATATGTCCAGCCGGGGTTGCGGGTAAGCTCAATGATGTACTGCGGCTAGGCTCGGAGCAGAAGAAGGATGGTTGTCAGTCAATAAGAGCCAGACACATGTTATTGCCTCAGTTAGAACGAGAAAAGATTACTTTCTCAAAAAATCTTACTCGTATTACAAATGCGAAAGTTACGATGTTCAGATTTTTGCTACTCAATCACGCCAAAACAGCTGGACGGATCTGGATGAAATTTGTCACAGGCATAGGATACACTCCGGAATAGGACATAGGCTACTTTTTATCAACATATTACGCGGGAGAAGCCGCGGGAGGAAGCTAGTCTAAGAATAAAAGCCAGATACCTCATTCAAAAGTAATAGTTGTAATCTCTCAACCAACAAACAGTAACAAGAATATTTATTAGCAAAACGTGAGGTACAGAATGACATTTCATATATTCCTTAAGCCTTAACCTTTTTGTCGTGAAAGTACGTTTTAAGTAAGTATCAAAATATTTCGTAACGTAATATGTTTTATAAATTATAATATTCAACATGTTTAACGGTCACGATTTATCATTAATATCTGTTTAAAATTTAACTTGTACATGTATTTACACGTACTTACATTTTATTTTCTATTCTCTTGAGCTAAGTAATATTTATTCCAACAAGACCAGTACCTACACAAGAAAAACAAAATATTGGTTTGTCCAAATGTCTCCTTCATAACAGCATGACCAGGATTTTACTTGGTGTACAGCACCGCACTCATCATCATCTAAGCAGACGGATACCTGATGGTAAGCAATCGGCGCTACGCAACCCCAGGAGTTGCGGAGTGCATTGTCAGCTTTTTGAAGATTTGTGTTTCGAAATTTTAAGCATTGATGGGGGATGGGGAAAAAATTATTGGGCCTTAAGTAATCTCACTCAAGAGGCGAAACACAACACTGTGGTTGTTTCACGACTGTTTTCTGTGAGGCAGTAATATCACTCCGGTCGAGCCCTTCCACACTCACTGCTCTCCTATTACATATGAACACCTAATAATTATAAATAACAAGAGGTCGGTTTCGTATTTAACATGTACACGTGTATAAAACCGAAATTAAGTTATAATAAAGCAGTCTTACCCCTCATGAGTATCTTCCTCATACTCCGCCTCTGTGTGGTGCAGTTCCACCGCCTGTTTCTAAACTGATGAGCACACTCCGTGGCTCCCAAGGTCACGCCCTTCGTGATCTCCTTCAGCAGCCCCGTCTCGTTTCTGCAGATTTGGGCCAGTCTGCCGCGCGTCCGCCGATTCTTCTTGCAGATCATTCGAGGATCTAATATGACTGCGCTGCCAGACGCCCTGTCAAAAAGAGGAAGTAATTTTTAGACATTTACTGCTGATAGAAAACTTTAAAACGTCATTAATCCACCGTACCACTTTATTGGATGCGATATTTATATAAGTTTTTCTTTTGACTACTAGCCAATTAAAGATCCTCGTCAATATTTGAGAAAAGAAACAAATAAAAGCACCGTTTGAATCCAGTGTAAATAGCAAGTCTAGACAATAAACAATAGGTAAGCAATTTGGTCCTATACACCAAAGACCATACTTTCAAGTCGTCTAGTGAACATAATATTCCCGACAATAGATATTCAAGTCAAAAGATTTCACAATCACAGAAATAGTCATAAAAGTCAGCTCACTCAATACGACTAGTGTTGTTCTTCGAGTCGGTATCGATTTACGAGCCGCCACGCTTCGCGTCGACAGGCGAGCGCCAGGTCGCGTTGATAGATCCATTGTTTACCTTTACTCGATTAGAGTTCATTGTCAGAGTATCGAGTGCGAAGCTAGTTCGAATAAATTTAGACTTGTCTGCTTCTCGGAATCGATTCTCGAAGAAAGTCGATACCGTTAAAAGTTATCGGTAAAAGTTAGTTACAATATCATCCGTCTACCTGACAGTGTTCCATCAACTGATTTGATAGCAATCGCTCTTCATTCGCTCTAACTAGAACTGTTTATGCAGCACATTTTTCAAATGTTTCCTCTCTCGGATGTTTCACGTTAAATACTTTAATGTAATACAAATTTTTAGCGTCTCTATTTTTTATATTCATTCAGGCTTCGTTTGAACGAAAATATTTACCATGTGATTCTTAAATTGGATACAATTAAAGAGGTTTATTTCTGCAGTCTTACTACAGAGTGTGTTGCAATTTCATAAGAACGTTTTAATTTTTTGAAGCATCTGTAGCATTTTTTGCCACGTGCATAAGCTTATGTAGAAATTAAACAAACAGATTTTTATGTAGCATACATTCCGAAAGCTACGTTTATCGGTAAGCTACGTTAATCGGTAACAACATTATCGAGAAAAAAAATCTTTACTGACCTATTTTAAATAATATTGTGAAATTCCTAAAATTACATCATAATTTCCTACTATGAACTTTAAACCTAAAGCTACAGCACCAAAAAAAAACAGAAACACCTTAAAAATAAATATGAAGAAGAAGTAAACACAACCATTCCGACTTCTATTCTAGAGAATATTCGAGATTAACACAAATAATCGTGTGCTAATTCATGGTATAAAGACGGCCTTGTTACAACTACAGCAAAAATGTACTTACACGTAGTACAACAGTAAAAGTCAAGACTCAAGTGAGTTACGATCACAACAGATACTCTGAATTACAGGTTAGTTTACAAAATGATTTTATTAACCCCTACGAATTAGTTCTGTTTACATTTTCCCAGCTCGTGTTTTGTAATACTTCATACAACGATGATAGCGGTGTTGGTAACGTTTATACGGTTTCTGAGTTTGTTTTTGGTATTTTTTTGCTTTACTTTGATAGAACAGTGTGATTTTGTGCAATAACTATATAATAATTGCCTTTATGTCGTTAAAGATTACTATTTCAACTAGTGTGTGGGAGAGCCATGCTTTGAAACAGATGAATTGGCTCGACTCGATAGCCTCACAGAGTAGCGGTGTGAAACAGCATTGACTTTGCGTTTCGCCGTCTGATTAAGATCCAATCTTTCCACTACCTCAATCAAATCCAATCGAAAGACTAGCAATGCATTCGTAACTACTCTGATGTTACGGGTGTTCGAATGCTTATAATCAGGTGATTCTATAAACCAAAGACTGCCGGTTGACGCAGTGGCGATTTTATTTCCAGACGGATCAACTTTTTGAGTGATTTAAAAATTGTTGTTTCGGGTCCGGACCTGTTTTGTATTTTATTTTTATTTTAGCAATTGTCGTAGAGGGTTACAATGTTTTAAAAAATTGGTATATAAAATTTAGTAACTCGGATAATCCTACCTTCATTAATTTGCTAGATTTTATTTCTGCAACTCACCCAAATGTTTTATTGGACACAATCCGCGAATAAAGCAAAAGGGACTAGTAGTTTTTGAGCAATATAATACTTAAATACAATCTGCATGTACTCTGCGACCACCTCGTATCTTCTTAATCGATCTTCAGAAACATTTACATTACTATCGATCGAAGATTCATCGAAATGCTTTAATATGCTAATATCATTACCGAGTGATGATTGAGCCGATTGAGAGTTTATAATTTATCGTTTTATCATATTTCCTTATGACATTATAACTTTAAAAAACATCTCCTTTCTTTCGTGTGGAAGAGCCAAGCTTCGGCACGAATGGGTCGGCTCGACCGGAGTGATACCACGGCCTTACAGAAAACCGGCGTGAAACAACCAATTGTGTTTCGCCGTGTGAGTAAGGTTACCGGAGGCCCAATCTTTCCCCTCCCCCGATCCCTCCCCAATCCCTTAATCTCCAAAACCGTAATCCCTAAAAGGTCGGCAACGCACTCGTAACTCCTCCATTGGGTGTCCATGGGCGGCGCTGATTGCTTACCATCAGGTAATCCGTCTGCTCGTTTGCCGACCTATTACATAAAATAAAAAACAAAACAAAATCTCCACTGATATATTTCTCTTTACTATAAAGAATCCTAGTATAATATGAATAAATGTAAAAGTTTGTGAGAATCTATTTTTGTTATTATTTCACACGCGAAAATGGTTAAATGGATTTGGTATGTAGACAGGTGTACACTCTGGATTACCATACACCTCCTTATTACAAAACAAGACATCTTTAGTCTAGATTTAAACCATTGAGTCACGTATTGTATTTTGAATCTTGTCCTCAGACGGGGCCCTATAGAGCTGATGTTCAGCCGGGGTTGCGGGGTAAGCGCAATGAGGCACCGCGACCACGGCCCAGAGCAAGAGACGGAACGGGGGGTTTTTAGTAAGTAAGAGTCCGGCCCTGGGCGGGAGAAGTAACTTGATGAATTTCCCCTCACAAAAACAAATCCTCACCTACCTTCAATTTAAAATACAAAAACTTGCTCAATGGCCAATAAGGCCCATAGACTTTTTATCAACATAGCACTTGAGTGTAGCCGCGGGCGGAAGATAGTACATTTTTGAGAACTGGAATTCCTATATCCATATTAAATAAGTGTCTTTATCAATAAGAAGAAAAGAAAATGGCTTTCATTTCTGATACTATAATTGTCTTAATCCACGTTCTTCCAAGTTTATGTATGTCCGTTATTAAGTGTCGAAGTTGAACTGATCATAACTTGACGACTTTATGAACAGGAATCGTGTCTAGTTTAACTTGATCAGTCTTTAACAAAGTTGGTAAAAGTCGATTAACTATCATGCTCACGTTAAAAGAGGTTAACTGTTAGTTAAACGACGATTGGAGACTTGTAACGAATACTCTCGTCTCGTCTCCAGACTTCGATTAGCGGTATGCTTTCGCTTCTTGCCACTACTCCAAGGAAATTATGTGTCGCAGATTCATTTCTCGCATTAGACAAGTTTATGTGATCCACAAATTGTTGTTCAGTTCTGTGGGTAATTTGTATTTGAATTTATTTTTCTTCTTCTTTTTTTTCTAATATCCCTACACTAGGGTTTTCTACTGTGTCGTGGGTGCGTTTACAAACATACAATTTTACATACACATCCACATGCACACCCAGACACGGAACAACAGTTTGTGGATCACACAAAGAGTTGTTGTCTACGAGAACTCGCGACGCAGTGCGCGACAGCCGGTTGCCCAGCCACTGCGCCAACCGTGCAATTAATTTGTTTGTTTGTTTGAAAATACTGTAATACTATATACCATTTTACTTCTTGCAATGAAAACATGAAATATTTATAGATATTGGTTTGTGTGATCCTACTGCTGTATGCTGTTTCATTGCACTGATAGATAGACAGAAATTATAATAAGGGATAGAAAAATGTCGTGGTGGCCCGGAGGTTAAGGAGCCCGCTTCTCATGCATGAGGGTGTGAGTTCGAAACCTGGCAATAACCAATGTGGCTTTTTCCGAGAGATATGTACTTTCTATGATTAATTAGACACCACTGACATACGGTGAAGGTAAACATCGTGAGGAAACCTGGACTTATAATTTCTAATTATAAGTTTGAAATCGCCAACCTGCATTGAGCTAGCGATGCTCTAACCTTCTCCGTGTGAGAAGAGGCCTTTGCTCAGCAGTGGGCACTTATAGGCTGATGACGATGATGATGATGATGAAGGGATAGGTATAGATAGATATATCGATCTTTCCCTTTAGGTAATTTAGTGTTGATGTTAGAAAATTTACGTATCAAACAACATTTGTTTGTTTACAAAATCAATCTTCATAGACTGTTCTAAAAGTTGATTTGTCAGGTATTCGCTGCTTGTTAAAAATAAAGATGAACAAGACGACCAAGCTGATTAACCATCATAACTTGATCTCTCTGGACGTAAATTTTCCTCATGGTTAGAAGTCAGGTTTTAATGGAATATTAACTTGATTTGCTGTTTTCTGAATATTTGCGTCATGTTTGATCGTTGTTAACAATGCTTACGTTAGGCTGAATGGTTTCTTGAGATCTTCCCACGCATGCGTAGTCAGATCGTGATGGTTTGATGACAAGATTATTTTCGTTGACGTCATTCGATTTTGGTACGTAGATTAAACCCGTTTTTTGTTATACATACTCCGAAGAAAAATAGAGCAAGGATGGCAAAAATTATAGACAGCAAAATTTTTTTATGGGACAAGCCAGCAACTATCTCCCAAAACTGCTGCAAATCTTATAAGCCAGGATCAACGGTAGATACAACCATGAAAATAACGAAAGACTGAAATCATCATGGCACGTCCCAGGACTTGAATAACTGTCTTGGATCACGCAACGAAATAAGTCGAAAGGTATACCTTCGCTAGATCTAAACAAAAAATACTCATTTTTACGAATATTTTTTAATGAGATTTAAGCCATAGTTCCTCAAGTTAAACTACTTAGTACATTTCAAGTTAGAAAATCATCATTACGAATGCTTATATTAGCTGAATCAATCGATGCGCAGGAGTGGCATCTGAATGCGCACGCGCCGACAGTTGGCGATGTATGGCCAATGGGGAAACGCGCTTATGTCTTATGAGATGGGCAGAGAATCAAGTACTTCGTGAATGTGAGTGTAGCTGTTTTGTTCTTAACAAAAGAGTTAGTTGAAATAAATAATAATGTTGTTTATTGATGCTATCTCAAAAACTCATTTATCGAAATAAATGAGTTTTAGTTTAAAGTAATAAAAAAGTTTTTTCTTCTTATACGTACAAAATATATGAAAAATAATGACTTACGTAAATTATATGAGAAAATATCTAATAATTTCAAGTCACCACTACTACTGACTGTCATGAATGAGAGCCACGTTGTGAGTTCACGAACGTACTTAGTTCCTATTT